GATCGGTTTCGATCTGAGAGTGCATCAGCTTGCGGTTGTCAGACACAGTCTGGGACCAGATTTTGCCCGACAGGTGAATGTCTGGCTACTCAACCGGTCACTTTGTGTCATGGCTGTTTTCCGCGGCTCCTTCCTGTCAGGTACGTTCATGTTTTTAGACCAGCAAAGAGATGCGAAAAGAATGTTCCAATGTGCAGAGAACGTGTTTCCTGTGCGCCCAGCTATGCGCTTCCGCCCAGATTGCAAATAGCTGTCTCTTGTGAGGCCCCCTCACGATGTTTTGCTGCACCAGCAGCAGCCCTACAGCAGAAGCTCGAACAGGCATGAAGCTAGCTTGAAACAGTGTCGTTTAAACTGCAGCAGACAGTTTCAGCTGAAGCCTGCGCTTCACTATGGCAGCAGACGGGCAAGCGGTGTCCTGTCTTGCAGGCCAGCGGGCTGCACCAAAGCAGGGTTAGGGGTAGGTCTTCTGATTCCTTGGTTTGCTATGGAACTGAGGACCAGTAATTCATCTTGAAATTGGGTTTCGTGGGGGTAGGTACCAGAAGAGCCTCCAAAGATTTCAGTGCAGAGATTTCAGTGACTCCGCCTGTCTGCCGTATCGCCACGGTTTAAGGTTTAGGGTAAATGCCCGACTGTCAGTCTGCCCGACAGTCCGAAACCCTGTAGCAGCTTGCTCGTAGTACAAACTAGAAGGGCAAGGCTGGCTCGTGGACCAAAGTCTGGGACAGGAGTTGGTCCTTCTAGAACAGTTTCGAGGCAGAAGCAGTTCCCAGCCAGATTAGTGCAGCTGATGGTTCTGCTTCGATCCAAGATTCTGCTTGGAGTAGGCTTGGGGCCCTTGGGCAACGTTCTGCTTCGCATGGTTCTGCTTCGACAGAAACGCGAGGTCTGACGGGTGCCTACGGTACGGACGCGAGCACAGACGCGGGAAGCAGAATCATGAAACGAAATTCTCTTTAGAAACGGAATCAACTTTCATTAAGTGGTGGATGCCTTGGGGAAACGCATTCCACTTCGACAATGATTCCACTTCGATTCATGATTCCACTTCCCACGAACACACCCGCGGGAAGCAGAACCGCAAACTTGAAGTGGAACCATCCGTGCCCCCCCAAGCCCAAGCGGAACCATGGCTGCCGCACAGGCCTGAAAAACTGGTTTTCAAGTCGGCTGGACAAGGCCAGAGGGCGGTCTGGCCGGAACTAACGTTCTGCTTCGTTTCATGATTCTGCTTCGATGGTTCTGCTTCGAGAGCAGTCCATGCCAATGCCTCCTTGTCCATGTTTCAGGAGCGACAGCTCGAGCAGGATAGCATCGCCAAGAAGCTGGCCTTCATCGATTCGAAGGTTGCCACTGGGCAGTCTATCGGCGATGGCTATGCTCCTCTAGCACTTTGCGACTGGGAGGAGCCTTGTTCTCAAGAACTAGAAAAGCTCACGCCACCAGCATACTGAGCTGCTTGAATTGTTGAAGCACTGCAGCAGTGGGTGCCCCCTGATCAGGCATTGCTGCATGACAACCCAGCTTTGGCAGCCTCAGCGGGCTTTCCTATCCGGCCCAGTCTGGTTGAGCAGGCGACTTTTCAGGAGGTCGAGGAGCCGCAGCCGGCTCTGACCATCAGTCCTGCATCTGAGACATGGCAAGCCCACGGCGACGACGAAAGCTGTGTGCTTGAAAACAAAACAGGGGCGG